CAAATATCACAAGGAGTAATCTATGCCTTAAGTAAGTAGTCAACGGGTATTAATCATCACACTCTGGGTAGCACTCAAGTCTCTTTCAAACACTGCCAGCTTTTACTATCACCAGCCTCTAAATAGTTCTCCCTGTTTATGATTTATAACTCCGACATCTAGTTTTCTCCAACGACAGATGTCCAATAAAATTGACCTTGGTTTCCTGAAAATGTATAACTATTTTCGAGAAGATTCAATGATGCACCCGGGAGTTAGTATTTCCCTAACCCCACTTTACTAGTTTTCAAAGTCTATACGACTGACTACTCCTGTAACAAGTTATGATGACCATAAGTACACATTGAATCCGACAGTACGAGAAACGCTTCTCGAGTAGACGTCAACTGACTTTTACCCATGTGCTGACTGGTTACATACATAAAACGCATTCCGTCTACTCACTCCTGCCTAAGCAGCTGCAAATAGAATTACAGGTTGAGTGAAGGGTGATTTCCAGGTGTCTAGCCTCACAAAATTACCGTCACTAGACAAGGCAACCTGTGAAAAGTCACGAAAGAATTCAACTAAAATAGTATTTTATAGAGATGCGAGTATAGCATCACAACCATAACACACTATAATAACAATAGACATAACGTAACAATAGACATAACATACATAGACATAACGCATTTCGTGTACTCACTCCTCCCTGAACAGCTGCAAATCGAATTATAGGTTGAGTGAAGGGTGATTTCCAGGCGTCTAGCCTACAAATTTTCCGAATTGTGGAGCATAGAGAACGGAGAAGATTTCTCTTCCTGTCCAGATGCACCCAACTGTTGAAGCCAGTGTATTGACCTGTAAATATTGGCTTAATCTTAAGTCTCACTTGATGAAGGAAATAGGTTTTTAATTTGTACATCATCTTTAAATTGAACCGGTGTATCCATCTTATTAGATCTGACACGACTATCTCAAAACTTAATACGCATAGACGAGACTTCTAAATCTGTCAGTAGTATGACACCCAAGAAATACGGCTGACTAGAGTTACTCAAAAGTCACTCGCCATTTGGGCCTGTCCTCGATTTACCTACCTCAGCATAACATGCAGATGGAAAACAACTGGTACATTTTTCGAGACCGTTACACAAAGAAGCTGTAAAACACACCGTGAAAGAGTTTTGAGTTTGTTGGGAGAATCAGGTAATTAAAGGTGAATGGCAGGTTTATAACACTCTCGGACGTGTCTTCCCTGTTCACTAACATGTCTTTGATGGTGATAGTAGATTATATAAATGACTAAATTGATCAATGATGGTATGGAGATTGGTATATCCGCCTCCTCATTAAAGGGGCTCATTTTAAGGCACACGATGAATCAAAACTTTCTGTTCGGTGAAGACATCTAGAGGCATTCAGATGGTATTGCTATGGGATCACCACACTGTACAGTACTAGAGGACTTCTTTCTAGTGAAAGCAGAGAATGGCCCAGTAAAAGGTGTTATAAGTGATCTGGATTTCCCTTGTTTCTTGACAGATGCTGGGTCAAGAAATACTAAACTGTCTGCTTTGTATCACGTAGTTTACTAGAAGATTCCGAGCTCGGAATTTCGTGGAAGGTTGAGCGTGCTGCTATCAAATCCACCCCATCACTACTGAAACTTCAAATCACAAAAAGAATATTCCCCATTGGAATCAGGAAGACTTCTCAGTTCGGGGACGAATGATGTCAGCGAGTGAAAGGTTTCGGGAAGTTAGTCTGCCGACAAGTCTCCTCTCAATGAAGGCAAGAATCAGCATAGGTACTTGGAATGCCAGCACGATGTTTTACACTGGTTAATGAAGTTGATCGGATACGAAATAGAAGTGTCAGGAATCTTTGAGATCGGATGGAATTGAAGTGGATTCTCCGAATGGTTAATTGAAGAGTCGAAAATATATTCTCTTGTCATCCAGACGACAACTACGACTACACTGGCGTGTGGCTAACATGCTGTTACCATCAGCATCGAAGACACTCATTTAGTGGAATGTAATCTGCTCAGTGATCATGATGACATTATTCAACTGGAAAGAGTGTAAGCTCACAATCCTACTACCCTACACACCTACAAACAACGAGGACTTCTGGAGAAAGCTGCAAACAGTGATCGAGGAGATCCCAGCTAGATCGTTGAAAGTTTGCTGCTTATTTTCTTAACATGGATCACTCACTGTGATCATGTCCTATGTACCTGTAATTTTCCTGTGTTCTACTGGTTAGTAGCGTTATGCATTCAGTTTGTTGTCATAGGGGACTATATACAACAAAAACCTTACCAATTTGTATTTCCTCCCTAGTAGAAGGAGTAATATTGATTCGCAACGATAATCGCACAAACTGAATTCGAAGCTATCCAACACTATTTGCTGTGTGCACTTATAAGGGTTTTATTTCATAAAAGCAGTTTGTGGTAGATATGAAGTATTTGACTGATTTTTAGTCACTTTTCGTGTTTTCCACTGTACATATGATGGATCTAGGATGGCTGGATTCAACATAGAACTTGGCACCGAAGTGCAGCAGTTCCAGTTGCCACGTTCCAAAGAGCACACAAAGGTAGACAAGAAAATGAGTGAAGAGAATCAATAGAGTTTCGACAAGTATAAGAGTGAAACAGAATGAGTAATGGTAGAAAGGAATATGAGACTGAATACATCTGCGCCATTGACAACGACTTTGAGCCATGTCACCTATTGTCTCCAGTCTTTGATACTTAGAGTTCCGAGGGCCCCAACCCGGAAGTCTGCATCTCCCTACCTGACTCAGTTTAACTGTCAGGGATTTCATGGATTGATGAAGCCATGTTTTTGTTTGGCCACCGCTTACTCTTTTCCAACCTGCACCTATATCAGCTAGCTAGTAATGCCCGTCGGGGGAGGCGATGGTTAGGCATGCGCAGCACGTGACCTAGCCATCTCAATCTATGTAACTTTATAGCCTCTTCGATCGATTTTCCCTCTTTGCCCAACACACTACGCCTAACGTCAGTATTACTTACTCTATTATACCACCTAACGTGAGAAAGAGATCGTAAACATCTGTGGTCAAAAACAGACAACCTTTTCATGTCTTCAACTCGTATTGGCCATGTTTCAGAGCCATAGAGAAGGACGGAGCGAACTGCTGAGCAGTACACACGTCCCTTGGTTGATAGCCGGATGTCACGCCTACGCCAGAGACGGTGTAAGTTAGCGAAAGCAGCTCGAGCTTTTTGGATCCGTGCTGAGATTTAGTCACCAATCAGTCCGTTGGTGCTGATACAACTTCCCAAATAGGTGAAGTGGTCAACATGTTCTATCACTTCACTCCATATCACTAAGCTAGGAGTTGACGTAATCCAGTCCTGTAGCAGCATCTTACAGGGGCGATCTAGGATGACATATTCATCACGGCAGCTACAAAACTCGAATCTGTGATACTGAATATATAATGTACGGTGGGAGAACAAATTTTACCTTATGGCACTTCTACGATCCTGTTAACTACTATTACAGATTTCAAAGTGTATACATGAGTTCTAAGTATTATTTGACCGATTCATAGAAGTTATAAATCACAGTGTGGTAAATTTGAGATCACTGAAACATTTTTTAAACGATGCATGCCATTTTTCCACTCAGTAGTCACCAGATGAGAAAAAACACGTTGTGGTGGAGTGGGCGTGTAAGGTGTCTGTCTTATGGAGCAGTCATCTTACAGCATACGACATGTTTACAAACACTACAAGAACAAACAGGATGGCGAATGAAATAGTGTTTGAACAGGCTACACAGTCAGTTAAGCAAATCACCTCTAGCAGTACTTTTCTGTTTTTCGTTTACTACTTGCAAGTAACACGAAAAAGCCAATAAAATAAACTCCCTTCATACATCTGTGGAAATATTTGAGATAGTTATAAGAAGGCGATTGCCATCCTCACATTTGAGGAATATGCGAATAAATTAAGCAGATGAATGCTGAAGAATAGGCCTTTATGATATTCACGAAAATTAGATAAGTATTATCAAGTTTTGGCAGAGGTATCTTTCACGATAGAACAACACTAGTATTTGGTATCAGAAGTGTTTTCTATCTAGTAAAGTGGTATGCAGGGATAGTAAAATAAACAGTGGTCGTATAAGGAGTGCAATAATCAAACATCTAGTTAATACTGGTCATTCCATCTCAACAAACGCCTCCTTCAAAGTGAAGGACAACCTACGAAAGATAATACGCTTTCGTCTCCTTTTTATTGCTGAAGCCTCAGTCTTTCACTTGGGGAGAAACCAAAGATATGCATACAAAAGAAAATCACCTGACCACTTCTAATATCATGGTTACAAACGTGTCGACTTCTACTGACTTGATGTTTGTGCGCTTCATTTTTTGACTACTTCCGGTAACATCTGTAATTTTTAGGACTCTTACATAATGCCATATTTTCCTTTGTTTCTATGTGCATCCTAATCACAATTCACTGATTAAACTGTTCAGCTTATCACTTAACTGTATCACGCTTATTCAACTTCTTTTAAGTGTTAATATCCTTTCACCCCATCACCCTCTTACTAATCTTCAACTCCACCCTAGCAACAGTTTTGATTTGAATGAATTCGCTGCCGAAAAGAGACTCTTCGCTGAGCTACCTGTTTTGTTCTCATTAAATTAAGAGACCTAAGATTGAAATTTTCACTAGCAAATATTATTCATATTTTTTTGTTTCTTTTGACTTCACATTTCAGATTTTCTACACTGTGGTGTTATGAGTTCGATTCGTCTCACACTTAACCTGACTCAGTCTACGCAACTGTACAGCATCATAAGCCTCCACACACACACACACACAATAAATGCAGGTTTTTAGCTTAGGATATGAAAAATCTACTCCGTCCGTGTAGTAGCTGAGTTCAAATAAACACGGCTTTATGAAAAGATCAGTCCAACTCTACCGCACTTCACATATTCGAATGACAAAAGGTCAAAAAAGGTCAATGACAACTTTTATTAGAAAAAAATACATTTATTTTATACATCTGAATGCATATTGAAATTCTATGCATCAGCGAACTGATCCGGATCGAAATTTGTCCCATTATCTAGAAACAAAAAGGAAGAAAATGTCAGCGAAATTTATCAAACTATACAAGAAGTTTTTTATTTTAAAAAAAGTTTCACTTGAAGGTTGATTTTAAGGTGAATTTTGTCACGAATAATAATTATTTAAAAGGATCATCACTGACTGAAAAGTAAGCATCAGTGGATAGAAGTTTCACTTTACTTCTTTGTAGAAACGCTTCAGTAGTGAGTATCCATAACTTTGTGAAGCGTAGAGGCAAACACTGGTTACAGTCTACGGATATTGTTTTTTAATAATAATAATAATAATTTGCTTTATTCCAAAACAGTACATGTGATACACAATGGAATTCTCAGCATTTTTACTACAGTATTGCATCCAGTTAGTACATTATCAATAAATAAAATTCTACATAGATTAGGGAAATCTCAGTTCATTATTACAACAATACATTGGCATGTCAGTAGCAAAGGTAAAGCTGAAACAGTGTTTGAAGGTGTTAGAAAAGCGGGAGCTGTCTTATTAACTGGCGTAAGCGAGAGAAAGAAACAAAGCAGCACATAACGGAAAAAGAGAGAGAAAAGGAAAGAAAGAAAATGTTGTACCTATTGATGATGTGAGTTGGAAAGACGAGATCTAGTTGTACTACTGACTATTTCATGAATTATAGGTGTCACGCCTAATGCTTTCTTTATCACACAGAACACGAGCTAAGTAGGGTATGGTTGAGTTTTTGTACTTGCTGGTGCGAGCATATAGTTTTCTATATAGGCTTCTGGTTTTACCTGATGAGATGCAAGGGGAGAGTTATGAGTGAAGAGGGTGGTGTGAGTTAGATAAAATGGACTTAGCCCATTTTTCATATGAGTCTATGTGCCTGTCAACCAGAATATTAACAAGCTGGTTAAGTGGCACGTTGCTTACTCTGCTGACAACCTTTAACATCCTGCGTGATATGTTATAGTCTTTCTTCAGTAGCCCGGGAAAAACTAAGGGGGAACAATAGAGAATAATAGGCAGGATGCGAGAATTAACGAATTGTAGGAGTAAGGGTTGGGTAATACCAGAATGTTTTAACTTCTTAATGTAGAAGGTAAGACGGAATATTTTCTTAGAAATTGTTAAGATATGAGACGACCAGGAGAGATCAGCAGATAGAATGACACCTAGGTATTTAATTTCCGATTTAGTTTCTATTTCAGTGCCGTCTATGTTGCATACCTCGTGAGAGCCAAACAGTTTGTTTAGGTCGGATTTATGCCTAAAGGTGAAATTGACTGTTTGGCATTTGGAGGGGTTTAGGGTAAGACCGTTTTCCTTGGACCACTGGCTGATTTCTGACAGAAAGCCATTAAGTTTAGAGCAGTCGCTTCGACATTTGACAGGCAAAGATACAGTCAGGTCGTCATCATATTTGACAAAATTAATGTCATTTGAAGATGGTAAGTCATGTAGAAAGAAAGAAAAGAGAAGTGGGGAGAGTACAGCGCCTTGGGGGACTCCGGCTTCAGTGAGTACAGCAGAGGATGATTTACCTTTGTATACGGTGTACTGCATTCTGTTAGAGAAGTAGGAATGCAACCAGTTAGTGATCCAGGACTTTGTTTTTTTCAAAGAGAGCTTATTTAGCAGGAGACATCTAGGTACAGAGTCGAAAGCAGAAGTGAAGTCAAGAAACGTGCATTTTTGTGAGTAATGCAGTTTCTTTTCGTTGTTGTGTTTTTACGATGAACTTTTCAACTCTGTCAGTGATTTCCCCAACGCCAGATATTTGGTATATTAGTTTAACAGATTTTGTGAACTCTTTTTCGGTAAGTGCCTGTCTTAATTATAGTTGTAATAGGAAATATATATATAAGTACTGTTTCGCTCTTATTTTTCTCTACAGATAAGATCTCGTATGTTGAAGTAACAGTCAATCAATTGAAAGTGTCACTAAGCGAGTACATGCATGCACGTAAGCAGTCTTGAAAAGAGTGAAAGTCGACCAGTTAATTACGATGATATCTAACCTAACTAACACCAAAACTTTACGGTTTCCTAATGATAATGTGCGTTGGTGGCACAGCCGTAGAGTACTCGCCAACCACGCATGTGGTCCGGGGTTCGATCCCCGGCCATGGAGGCACTCCTTTATCTCGGTAAGCCAGTAATAAGACGGGTAAAGAGGGAAGGTTGGGCATGAGACTAGCAACCCCATCCTGTAGAAATAATTACCACTGCTACGGAAACTCCAAGCCTCTAGCTTGAAGCCCTATGTTCCACTGGGAACGTAAAGGAATAAAGTAATGATACACAAGCTCAGTCTCCTTCTTCATTTAATTCTAGAAATGTCAGGTCCCCCTTATCATCCTACTTTAAAATGGTTAGTTGATATTCTGGAACCTGTAACCAAACATGTATGCATGTATCACCTTTGTGAGTGACACTTTTCAATTCATCGATTGCATACAAGATATGAACACTACTAAGTAAGTATGTTAACTCTCAACATTAAATCCCTGCTCACCAATGTCCCCACTTACGTAAACTGTCTTTTTTATAGACAAATGTATAGATAATAACCAGTTAAACAATGGAATACAAACAGTGTATCTGAAAGGAATACTGCTGAGGTGTACTTATAGTGACCCTACTTACAAACAATAGGATGGCCCTGCAATGGGATCTCCTTTAGGTTCAATTACTAGTAGACTGTTTCATGGCGAGTCTCGACGACGATTCCTTAAAGTCGACTATTGATACCTCTTAAATGTATGCACAGTATGTGGACATTTTTTAATCCTTTATGACAATAATTAGGACCTCAATCAGGTGTTATATGCATTTAACAACTACCATCCAGCAATAAAATCCACTCTTGAAATGGAAAAAAATTCGGAAAACCCTTTTCTTGATGTGGAACTACTGAGAAGAACCTTTAGAACTTTAAGAAGATATATCCATAGGAAGCTCACAAGGGAATGGTCAACTGAGAAGTTTCGATAGTTGGGTGCTTGTTGAACGAAGACACAATTTAGTTAAATCCCTTACAACCCACATCCAACGCATCTGCAACCATGACGTTGTAGAAACCTGAAAGACAAGACCTAGCATCTGACCACATCACCTATTCTTGTGTGCTATTTGGAACGTGGCAACTCGAACTGCTGCACTTCGGTGCCAAGTTATATGTTGGATCCAGCAGCAGCAGCAGCAGGAGTCAGGTGTAATGCCCGTTCGACGCATATCCTGTCTAGAAGGGGTTCAAAAACACCATCCTCCATGATTGTAAAAAGGCAATAGTGGCTCTATAAGGAGTACGACAGTCGAACACTTTGTCAACACAACAATCACCTCTTTCAAAGTGACCTACAAAGTGAAGAACAACCTGCCAAAGGAAATACGTCTTCGTCTCTTCTGCATTGCTGAAGCTTCAGTTATTCACACAGCTATGCGTACATAAGAAGAGTATTCAACAACTTCTGCTATCATGCTAACAGTCTCGTCGATTTCTACGAACTTCATTTTTGTTTCTTTGCTTTTCAACTCTCCATTATCACTTTTTCTCTCGTTTCTATGTGCATTCTAGTTACATCTAATTCATTAAATTATTCATCTTATTACCTGAATCTGACATCATTATTCAACTCCCTTTATGCATTGGTTAATAATATAAACAACAATGATTATGACAACTCATTACTCTTTCCTAAAAAAATCCATATAAATGCAATTGTACAGCTAAAAAAAATGAATTCACCAAGAAGATTCTTCGGTGAACTACTTGCTTTGTTCTTTTCCCTCACACCTAGATGGGGATTATTTAATGAATATCCACATCTCTCTCCACTCATAATCATATCTCCCTAATATATCAAATACTAAGCCGCATCATCCTGGAGAGAATCAAACATGCCCTGGATGAAAAACTCCGACCGGAACAGGCTGGATTCAGGAGAAACAAGTCATGCATTGATCAGATCGCCACACTACGGATCATCATTGAACAAAGCCTGGAATGGCAGTCACCTCTCTATCTCAATTTCATCGACTTTGAAAAGGCCTTTGACAGCGTCGATCGAGAGGTGATTTGGAAACCACTACGCTACTACGGGGTGCCACCGACAATAATACATCTCATCCAACAGCTGTACGACAATGCTGCATGCCAAGTAATCCACAACGAGAAACTTACGGAATCCTTCGAAGTGAGGACAGGAGTAAGACAAGCTGGTTGCCTACTATCGCCAATGATTTCCCTGATTGCAGTAGACTGGATTATGCGACAAACAGCGGGCAATGAGGAAACAGGCATAAAATGGACCCACACAAAAACTTGGAGGATCTGGACTTCGCCGATGATATATGTCTGATTTCCCACAAACTGGGAGATATGCAAATGAAAAGCAACAAGTTGGCAGAAGAAGCATCAAAGATAGGACTTCAGGTGAACATTGAGAAAACAGAGGTGATGAAGATTCCTGGCTAACAACAACACCTACAGCAACAACAACAGACAACAATCAGCATAAATGGGAACGAACCAACCAGGAACCGATTATGAAGGAAATAGGCAGGAAGAAATGGAGATGGATTAGCCATACTCTGAGGAAACCATCAAGTGACATCACTAGACAAGCCCTTGAGTGGAACCCGAAAGGGAAGGAGCGAGTTGGTCGTCAGTGCTAAGGTGGGGTGACTTGGAGGAGGTCATGTGAAGTGAAGAGGAGATGAAAACGTGTGGGCAGACTTGTAGCCATGTGAAGACTCTAGCAGGGAACCGAACGCAATGGAGACGCACGGCTGAAGCCCTGTGTTCCTCTAGGAATTAAAGGAAGCAATAATAATAATAATAATAATAATAATAATAATAATAGTAATAATAATAAATCAATAATTTTGATTCACAGTTCTCCTTTCCGATATGTGTTGTTTTTCAAATTCGGCAACACAAACTGACGCAACTTCGTGCAAAGCCAGTTTGAACTGTTTCCAACATCTCAAAAACCACTTGCATTTCAATGCAGTTGGCAATAAGCCGCATCTACTGTGTGACAGCTGATGATGACACCCCTTGGTAGGCGGAGCGGAGGGTTTCAACTTGTGACCTAGTAGGCTCATATCATTTCTACTTTCTATAACTAGGCTGTTTATTACGGTAAATATTAAAAGAGTTTCAACAAATGTTATCCTGTTCATAATAATATACGTGACTCACTACAAGCATTGTTTTCTAATTCTGCATCCTCATCATTCTCCTCATATTCATTATCTTCTGGTAAACTATCCAAATCAGAGTTATCATCTTCGGGATGAGGATTTAAAGCTTGACATTCAGCTAATGCTTTGAACATGTCTTCCAAGTGAGCACAATCAGATGGAACCAGACGCAGAATAGATGTAGTACTAGGAAAATCTACATCACGATTGCCTTGATCGCTCGCATCCTCATCTCCAGATTCAGTTTCGTCGACCGCCATCTGATTTTCATCAGTTTGTGGCTTCGATTCACTTGCACTGTTTGGGTCCCAAACTCGATCTCCCTCTACCATTATCAATAAATGCGGATGAGGGAACACGTTATTTCCTGTTTGGTTATCTGTATTCCTTGCAATTGCATGCAACGCGATTTGTAAGTAGGGAATGTAAAATTGTAGTGATGTGCCTTCCCATGAAAAGCAACTGCAAAAATTCAACATTTTAATATTATACCTCAAAACAAAACTTCAAAAGAGCGAATAATTAATGCAACACTAATCCTAAATCATTCATTAAAGCAAAACAAAACGAATCAAAGTCCATAAACTGAAAAGTAGTACTTCACTAAGCGTCGCTCTACGATGTCAGTTCTTACAGTAACAGATAACGATGAAAACAAAACAAGAGGAAAAACAATAATGAAAGATTTGAATAGGGCATTTAGAAGACAAATTTCGCGAGATGATATCATTTCGTAGTTTCTTTACAACCGCTTTACAACTAACATGGTTAACAATAATAAAGTTCATGACAATTACTCAGTTAAATAAAAAACAAAAGTACATACTAGTGACCAGTCATATTTAAATAAGTCATGTAGTCCATGGTAGGCGAAGATTGAATGGGAACTTGAAAAGAAAAACAATAATAAAACTAAAGCCAAAATGGAATATAGAGAAAAAATATCGACATGACGTCTACAGGGAAAATATGACACAATATATTAAATTACAAATGGATTACTAAGACTCACCTTTCAGTTATTTTCACGGTTCCAGTATCTATAAGAGATGAATCCTCGTACAGCGAAATATCCGACTTCACGAAATGTACCTTGTGATCTATAATGTCAGCAACCATTTGCAAGAGGTACGTCAGTTCCTAGTTTCTAATAATTAAGAGGGTGAGGTATATTGCGAGCACAGGATTAGCAAAATAACGCCTGAACTAAAATAAATAATGCAGAAATATCATTACAATATTGACGTACCTAAATGTTAAGAGTTTTACGGGTAGAAACATCTTTTAAGATTGACTTTTACTAGATTATGTTAACTAATGCCAACGGAATATTATTCTCACATATTCCCGCAGTTCAATACTGCAGTAGTAACAGAATATGATATATCTATTTGATATTAGAGACAATACATTTCCCACGGTCATATACTGCATCAATAAAAGAATACTGTGTACATTTGAACATTCTATTTCATGTCGTTTAATGTAAACTAAAATCACACACTAAGTGATTGCTTAAAGAATATGAACTGTTTACATATAGATAGCGGTTCGATCAATGGAAAATATACTTTGGCTTCCGTGTCTTCCCTTCTGTTGTTACAGTATGACCGACAGCTACTGTCTTGACGTGGTGGTCGGGATTGTATATCGCAATCACCCAACAAGCTACACTGGCTGGAACTATTGTTCCTGCAGGTCCTACCATGCAAGGAAGGTTGTTAGGATAGCGATTAGACTGAAAGCAGTTACCAGCATAGTGTACGAGTTTTTTGTTTATACTTTGCTGGAGGTCTATGGGCAAAGTCGTACAGCTGGGGAACAGGGATGTAATAGCAGTCAAGTGTTTCCCTCATATGACCAGCATGCCAACTATGCTGTCTCCACTCTGGGGGGAGGGGCTTAGGAGAGGTCAACCCCAACAACTGTACATCCCGAATTACCCTACGGTGGTTCGTAACCGGCGATAAATTTACCAATACGGAAACAACCCAAGAAACCAGTTCATACAGGTTGTGTGACCGGTCAGCATCAAGCATTTGTCCCTGGGCTCTGCGGTCACGCAACACTAACTCTCTTTCTGCTTAAGGTAACCGAAGAATTCAACAACTTCCATGGTGTGGGCAGCCGGGAAGTAAAAACCGCCAACACACTCCGAAGAGCACACCAAGCGTTCCTGAGCATCATTCTCCTATACCCACATCACCATCACTTTACTTCCTTACTACAGTCAGTACTATTCGGGCTAGTGAGTCATCTTCACTTCACTCTGTGACCACAAACAACGATGAGTCATAGAAACACCCCCCCCGGCAGCCCCTTAAAGCCACGTCACCAACTTCATATAGGAGCATTTAACGTCACGACCCTCTGCTGAATCGCACAACAGGCATCAATGGCAAGAACTCTGGCATCTTGAGCCATGGATATATGTTGTTTCGGAGACACGCATACAAGACCCGAGTGTGGTCATTCACTTAACCTCAACCGGTCAACAAGGTGAATCTACAAAATTCCCCCCAGTTAGTTCGCGAGGACTCGCAGGTATAGGGATAGCATTGAGTGTTAGTGCAGAAACATCACTTCTTGACTGGATCCCAGTAGATAGTCGTGTGTGCGGTTCGTCTGGACGGGTCCGTTAGAAGGAAGAACGGCGTTATCCACCGTTGTCTCCTCGTAGTCTCCCCTTACGCCCCAAGAAGTTGCATCAGCCCCAACGGGTTAATGGCTGATAAATTCTCAGCACGGATACAGAAGGCTAGTTTCGCATATGCCAGTTTAAGCCATCTCTGGCGTCGACGTGATATCCGGCTATCGACCAGAGGGCGTATGTACTGCTCAACAGTCCTCTCCATCCTCCTTCAATATGGCTGAGACCTGGCCATTGAAAGTGGAAGACATGAAAAAGGTTAGCAGTCTTTGATCATAGGTGCCTGCGTTCTATCTCCCATGAGAAATTGTATAATATTGAAGTTAGGCGTCGAATTCTAGGTAATGAGGGAAAATCAATCGACGAGGCTGTGAAGTTACATCGACTGAGATGGTTAGGACATGTGTTACGCATGCATACCTAGACATCGCCTTCCTCGACAATGGGCAATGCTAGCTGATATAGAATGGATTAGGTTGGAAAAGAGCCAGTGGTGGTCAAACCAAAACATAGCTTCATCAACCAATGAAATCCACAACAGTTAGTTTAAGCCACATCGGAAGGTGTGTAGACTGGCTAGCTGGTTGGGGTCCTCAGGACGGTAAACACTAACGGCTGGAAACAATGGGTGATATGTCTCAAAATCGTTCTCAATGGAGCAGATGGATCCATCCCTTGTGGCTTATAATACCCAATAAAACTATACTGTTCTTCGATATTACTATTCTTTTTGCCTCATACCTGTCTACTGTCTCTATTTTGCATTTCTTTTTACTTTCTTCTCTTGCTTGTGTGCTACATGGAGTGTGGCGACTTGAACTGCTGCACATTGGTGCAAAGTTCCATGTTGAAACCAGTCAGTGAGTCAGTACATGAGTTCAAAATGTCCTAAATGTGTGGCACAAATACATCTCAGATAAAAATTGTCTTCTTATTGTTTAGTTGAAATTCATAAATGGGACTAACTGCTTTCAAACTGTGCATTCGAAAGCCCATAAAGATGTGATTCCAAACCGTTTCTACTTCAATATAAGTTGACAGTCAATATACATAACACTTAAAGGTTACATGAAATTTGGGAGTACTAGTCTATAAACTACATCTGAAACGTGACACCTTGTGATACCGTCTAGTTCCTTAAACGATAAAAGGTAAAACTGAAACTAAACACAAAAGCCAAATGCCCGATGCGTAAGTCAGTAATTTACACCCGCTAAATATTTGTTTTCATTAAATTGTCTAAATAGAAGACGATGAAGCTATACTTAAGTAACAGCTTTTACACTGTAGTGCATCACTGACGTATAGACTGAAATCCGAAGTCTCGATAAGAGCAGCTGACCCACTACCAGCCTCGTCTATAGTAAACCTACAATTGATATGAGTTATACGAATGATATCATAACAGCTTTCAAGATCATACGTAAACACCGTCAATAGTGCATACTGAAATACTCTAGGGTGATGGCTCTCTATTAACTGAAGCCTCCCTCCTCGTATGTACAAAAACACTGTCACTCTTAACTCCCTACCTTGGCAATCCTCACCTGAGTATATTACGAAAAGTAGTGTCAATTATTATCCTCCTTACTCCGAAATCCCTTATCTTATTTATTCTAATTAACCTTTCATTTTCTTTATACTAATCGAATTGACAACTGAATATACGATCAGAATGTTAGATATATGTTGTGCAAAAACATTTTTCGGATATAAATGTCGTCTGGAGTTCACGCATTACCGGCATCAGAAAGCGAACCACATAGACCATAAAAAATAACATAAAAATAAAAGGAGAGTAGCAGTAGCATTTCATTTCCTTCTTTGCCGTTTACAGTTACGCAGCTACTTGAAGAAATGCACTTAGACGCAAGGTTTTCCGTTAATATCTAACAAAAGTGGGGTGTTGCACTATGGAAATCAGTATACAAGTAGTGCTGCCTTCTTATTCTAGAAGCATAGAATTGAAAAAGAAATGTACCTTGCCTCACGACTTCAAGTTATTAGTAATAAGATTACTTAATTTACAGACAAAACTTTTTCTACAGTGACAACTAAAACAGTTTCTATGTGACCTGCTCTGAACTTTATTTGGTCAACCTAAATTAATTCACTATACTTGTCAAATATCACAAGGAGTAATCTATGCCTTAAGTGAGTGGTCAAGGGGTATTAATCATCACACTCTGGGCAGTAGTCAAATCTCTTACAAACACTGCCATCTTTTACTATCACCAGCCTCTAGATAGTTCTCCCTGTTTATGATTTATAACTCTGACATCTAGTTTTCTCCAACAACAGATGTCCAATAAAATTAACCTTGGTTTCCTGAAAATGCATAACTAGTTTCGAGAAGATTCAATGATGCACTCCAGAGTTAGTATTTCTCTAACCCCACTTTACTAGTTTTCAAAGTCTATACGACTGACTACTCCTGTAACAAGTTATGATGACCATAAGTACACAGTAAATCCGACAGTAGAAACGCTTCTCGAGTAGACGTCAGCTGACTTTCATCCATGTGCTGACTGGTTACATACGACTGGCTACATAGACATAACGCATTTCGTCTACTGACTCTTCCCTATACAGCCGCAAATCGAATTATAGGTTGAGTGAAGGGTGATTTCCAGGTGTCTAGACTCACAAAATTATCGACAAGGGAACACGTGAAAAGTCACAAAAGAAATCAACTTAAATAGTATTTTATAGAGATGCAAGTATAGCGTCACAACCATAATACACTATATTAACAATACGAACAGGGGAAACGAGTTAATAAGGGCATGCTCAAGAGAATATTATCTTATCTTACACTCCATAGTAGAAGGAACAAAAATGCAACATGACCGATTTATTTTCATTCTTCGATGTGCCAGGTAATATCTCAAGCCTAGAAGTTGCATAGTCTCCCACATCCCAAGTGTGAGTTACGATGCAACAGTGAACCATGACCTATAACTTTCCATCGTGCCATACAGCACGTGTGTCAAAATGGGCAGACTACATCCCAGCTCTTTAAGCTTGCCTCAAACCTAGCAGACAGCGAACGGTGTGGAAGCCTTAGCATCGTTGGTGAAATATGTCTAGGATACTAAGGCCTGCATTTCCAGATAATATCATTTAGCGAAACAATTCCCAAACAGTTATACTAATACGAACAAACCGCGGTGAAATTCAACAGTAGTGTTCCCGGCGTGCAAATGCCCCAGTGACCTTGAAGGCATTCTAGTCGTTGGTTAACTGTGTTTGTCATTATTATAGCTGAAATATTAGTGCTGTTCACCAGCTAAGCGGCAGATTTCACTCAGATCACATTTCAAGTACTATTTTGACAATACGTTATTAGCTCGTTAGAGTCAGGATTAGGGTTAAGATGAGTATTGGGGTTAGGGTCCGGATCAAGGTCATAATTAGGATTAGGTTTACGGTTAGGATTACGGTTATAATTAGGGTTAGGGCCAGGATTAAGGTTAGGGTTACGATTAGGGATAGACTAATAGTTGATGCATTTATTTTAGTTTGTTATATTATCCACATTTTCCTGGTAAGCAGTCGTCTATCCTCTTAATGGAAACCAAAGTAAGTGAGGGCTTTTGGAGTAGACTGCATAACAGGATAAGAGAGATAAACGACTCACAAAAACAGCTCATCTTCAGTCATCTCGGTGGATACATGTACAGATACTAGTCTAACTTAGCAACTGATACTCCTCATTATAACTGGAACGTATTTTTAAGTCATTTCAGAGAAAGATATCCTGTGTGATGTGTTTTCATGCATTTTATTGTAATTCTGCATCATTTTTAGGCGACAGGTTCTCATTTTGTGATTGGTCGGTTAAAGGTCACTCGTGCGTTCGCATCCCTTGGTACGTTATTGTTGAACTTTACCCAAACCGCAAACAGTAGTATTCACAGGTGACCATTTCCGATTACTTTACGAATTAAACCCTACTTTGAAGAAGCACTGACAGAACGGGCGGGCCTATGAGAAAACCAACAATTCCGAGATCAAGTAGATGTATCTCACTTTTATTATTCTTTATCAATCCATCTGCCAAACATCGCGGTATCATTACTACTTTTCCTCATGTTTTGTCTGTTTGTTAACTGCCATATATCAGGAGAGTACCGCTATTTCAGTTAATGCTTTCGATGCCAGACAGAGACGAAACAGGTTGAAGATCTCTATTCACCTCAAACAACTTGAAATCACCAAGTGGTATTAATTTAGCCAACTTTTCACCGCCAAATACTCTGATACGGGTTTGTTTTTCTGCTTGAACCTGATGCTGCACACTGGCCCCACAACTTAGTCCTACGTTGCCACGTTTCCTCAGAACATCGTTTGTCTGTAAGCTCTCCTATTTTGATATACTCCTGTGGAATATCATGGCCCCAGCGATTATTCATGGGTAATCTCGTAAAAATTCCCACAATTGAGCACAAACAGAGAGCAGTAAAGAATAGACACTAACTTCAGACGACCTTGAAACTTCCAATCAGGTTCTTCCAGGTGAAAGATGGTAATTAATTTATAAAAATGTGTACCTATGATATATGAGTAATATTATTGAATCATGCAGGGTTTATATCTCTAATGTACTGCAAAAACTGACCCTCGTTTCTCGCAGAAGTGGTTACAGACTTATCAAACCTGTGTATTCTCTATTTATGTGGCTGTAACAGATAGTGGTGGCATATATGCAATGCACTGCTAAGGAAGATTTTCGATTTCGAGAAGGATGTTTCTAAAAAATTCCTGTTATTTACGACTTGTTCACTCCTACAGACTTCCTCATGTAAAGTGGTTGCGTCTGAATGCATAACCACCAATGCCAGGCAATACTTCTTCAGAGCCATTACCCCGCTACATTTGCGTGTTTTAGTCCTCCCTATCAATACATTCCTCATAGAGAAGTCAAAAACCTAATCCAGGAGACACAATGAAGATTATGATTTGCATCTATTTGTGGTGTTTAGCTATCTGATTGGCCAAATCAAGTTCATTCGACTTCGGTGTCTGTTGTTTACTCTTGCTGACAAACTCTCATTATGACCTCCGACATCTATCTGTACTTCCACACAGAGACGATTTTTACACCTAACTTCGATGCTGTCACTTATGGCAAACGAACTGCCCACATGCAACCGCACAGGGCGCGAGACGGGTGAGGATAAACGTTATTGCTTTTCAAATTTACCGCGCCTCAGGTTTTCTCGTCTTTCATTGGCTAGAACAGTGGCGGTCAACTGGATGTTTGATTTGTCCTAGGTAGGTGCTATCGTGTACAGTTTTGTGTGGTTGTGTCATGCGTGGTTCGCAAACAACTTTGACGAATATAAATGTAATATTTCACTATTCTAACATTGTTTAACTGTTTTTTATACGGATGCAGTGTTGTTTTCGATTTACACTCTCTTGGGAGTGGTTAACCATTTGGTGGTTATCAGTGACTACGATCCCGTGGGTCCCAACGCATTTCTTGAGTTGTGGTTGTACGCACAGTATTTTCTAGTTCAATATTTCCCCCTCACATAATCTGGTATGCTGTGTTTCTTGCGAATTAACTGTGACAAGCTGCGGCAATAACGTGCTTCGTTAACGAGCTCTTTTTCTAGAATTTCATCGCAGGTAATTAGAGTGAGCGGAAGTAACACATATGTAAGAAGCTGCGAACGCAACAGAAGACTTTCAAAAGGCGAAGACCCTATATAACGCTAGCAGTGGAAACCTTTTCTCATACCAGTATGTGGCTACGTTCACATGCAGAGGAAAAATCGGCAAATGAGACATTGTATAGTAGTGAGACAACTTTGTGGATCTTTCATCTAGTCTGTATGTTTCGCTCTGATATTTTTGTCCCCCAGACCACTAGCAAAGCATTGTCAAATGCATTCCTGTAGTATGATTCGATGGCACAATTACTGGCAGTTAATAATATTATGTATGCGTAATATTCATGGTATTTTCTGCACCATTAATTTGCTCCACATTTCAAAAGAATTGTAAACTATGATGACTGAATTTGTTGAATACTTAGGTCATGCATGTCAATTATGTAAATGCTTAATTTATAAGTGAATTTCATCTGTACCACTTTTAGGAATGTCGAGTAGAAGTGAGGCCTGTCAGTTAATTAAATTCAGTGGAGGCAGATGTCTAGCTAACTCATATGACCAAAATTTTCTCCAGCGACAACTGGCAGAAACGTCAGGGATCATGCACGTAGCAGGCATGATATCAGACCAATTCCTTGCTGGTATAGCGAACACCTTACAACAGGGAAATTGCTTCTTCTCCTGCAGATAGCAAACACCTTATACACACCTAATACTAACAGTAACACTCTAGATTATCATACTAGTATCCCTCATTGCACGCAATATCTAAACGACCAACTACGCACGAGTGACTTTTCACAACCCATCCCTAAGTATCAAACTGATGAAAACGTCTCTAGCGATCAAAAGGTAGTAAGTAATGAGTTCGATAACGACTGCATGTATTCAGTTGACAATCACAGAGTATTTTATTACGATATCACCCATACACTAAAACCACGTAGTCAAAGTCTATCCGTCATCCTCATAAATGCTAGATCAGTTCTTAACAAACACTTAGCATTATGTACGTTAGCCTCTATATGCAATCCGTCGTTGATCATGATCACTGAAGCCTGGTGCTCTAGTGATATTACGGATGATAGCTTATCAATTGATAAGTACAATCTTTTTCGAGAGGATAGGGCAACAGGTCGTGGGGGTGGAACACTTATATACGTTAAACAACCCATTTGTGCAACGCATTTTAGTCACCCTATTCTGTCACAACTTAATGACTCGGTGTGGGTCGAAATAAAAGTCCTCAGGAGTAAACCTATCCCTATGGGTTGTGTATACCAACCACCATCATCCAACCACGAATACGATAACGTACTCAGAAACATATTTAATGTTGCATCCAATCTTCTCTTCAGTTATAATATAATTGGAGGTGACTTCAATTTGCCTGATATATCATGGAGCACACTTCGAGGACCCTCGAGGTATGATAATCTTCTTAATTCCATCATTACAGGAGGATGGACGCAACATATTAATGTACCCATTAGGTCCGATAATATTCTTGATCTTATATTCACGATCAACGTAGCACCATCTACGATACATATGGGACATGAATTCCCAGGCAGCGACCATAAAATAGTAGCATGTTCGTTTAACATTTCTCCAGAAACTATACACAGAAACGTAGTCGGACACTTATAAGACTATAAACACATGTTGATTTGGACCTGTACCAGGACTTGATTAGATACTCTAATTGGGATTCCTACCTTAATAATGACTCCTTAGAGCAAGTTCTTAAAAATGTCTATGACAATATACAGTCTGTTAATGATGTCATAGCGCCTGTGAAACTGATTAAATTCAAAATCCCCCAAGGCGATTTTATCCCAGCAGCATTAAGAAGGAGTTTGCGGAAGCATTCATTAAGCTACTACAGACATGACGACTTATAATCGTTAATCGCTATCAAAACAATCCTCTTCAGAATCTATGATTTGAAAAATCTAAGTCTTAAGAATAAAGAAACGCGGGCCATTCAGTCGCCACATAACACTGGAGAAATAGCCAAACTCTTCAAAAATGGGTTAACAAACTCCAAATCAACATATCCAAAAATAATACACCTAGGCGGCATCACTTACAAAAGTGCTGAAGATATATGTGAGGTGTTTAACACGCACTTTGCCAAACTATACACTCTAGAAAATGACCAGGATATTGATTTCCCTCGCGAAACGGAAAAGTGTTTAAGCGATGTAGTCTTAAACGCCCAAGAAATCGATAAAGCTTACTAATACTCCAGGCCCAGATGGAATGTCTTCCATCCTCTTAAAAATGGTGGAAATGACATCAACCTAATTCTCCTCAAGATATTTTCAACTTCGCTAAGGGGTGGAACATATCCAAATAGCTGGAAGAAATCTTACGTTGTACCCATTCACAAAACCGGACATACAGCGGACATAGATAACTACCGCCCCATCAACATCACTTCCGTGGTTTCATGTGTGATGGAAAAGATTGTAGAGAAGCAAATTCGTCAGTATTTGCTTTCGAATGACTTGTTATCCCCCTTTCAATACGGTTTCTTAACTAGAAGGTCGTGCATCACTTGCCAGTTAGATTATTTCGTCCACATAAGTGAATGTGTAGACACAGGTCG